CAGCACTGAGATCTAATAATACTAACACTGAAGTTCTGCCACTGTCTGTGTTTAAGTGGATGTCATTAAAGACCTTTACAAGAGCAGTCTCAGTGCTGTGGTTTGGACGAAAGCCTGACTGGAACACATCGAAACAGTTATTTAAATGCAAGAAATTACTCAACTGTTGAAAAACAACTTTTTCAATGATTTTACCTAGAAATTGGAGGTTTGATATCGGCCTGTAATTGGCCTTTCTCCATGGAGATATGTTCTTCCCAGTCACTTCCTTTACCTTAGTTGGAGCAATGGCATCTATAACATTTTTAGTTTTTGAATTAAAATGATCTACTAGTACATTTACTGAGATGTTAGCAGGGGCAAGTGTGGAAGAAAAATTCTGAGTAAACATTTCCCTAGTATTTTCAGTTAAATATCGCTTTGTGGTTACCTCTTTTTGAACATTTTTGTGAACAGAAATAGAGCTCTCAAAGAAAACACAGGAATGGTCAGAGAGTGACCATCAGTCACCACAACCTTAGAGATATTCAGACCCTTTGAGATAATTAAGTCCAGAGTGTGCCCCTTATTGTGCGTGGGCTCCGTCACATGCTGAGTCAGTCCATAGCTATCAAGAACACAAAACAGTTCTTTAGCCCCTGTCCTGGGGGTTGTCAACATGGATGTTAAAATCACCAACAATGACTAGACGGTCAAAGTCAATACACACTATAGACAGCAGTTCAGTAAAGTCATAAAAAAAGCTTGCACAGTATTTGGGTGGTCTATAGATATTTAGGAACAGAGCTCGAGAGGAGCATTTCAGCTGAAGGGCCACATATTCAAAAGAAGCAAAGTTCCCATAAGATGTCTTCCTGCATTGAAGGGAATCATTGAACAGAATAGGCTTGTTTGAGACAAGCAAGACCTGCGCAGTTGCGATCAACGTCTTGCTAGTCCGTTGCATGATGGTTAGTCATTTTGTCCGACTTGCTCTGGAGGCCCGCCCACATGAGACTTTGAAATTTCGCGGGACAAAGACGCCCGCAGCCTTGAGAGCGAGGCGAGGCGAGTTGGCGCAGTTGCTCTCCACGGGCTGCGGAAGCGAAATGCTTGATGGGAAACGGCTCGCTGGTATCTCGAGCTGAGCGCTCATTGGTGGTTTTTACCACGTGCTGCTGATGAAACTCTCCAATTGGCTGGCAAAATGTTGTTGTTGTTTTGTGTCAGTTTTACGTCGCCACTTCCATTCTCATTTTTCATCATTGTTCCACAATATTTATCATCATTAAATTAATATCCATATATTTTATACTATACTTGCACTGCTTACCGTTTTCATACTTTATATATCTTAGCATATTCATACCCACTGTTCATACTGCTCTCAGGCTGCTGTGTATATCTAGTGTATTCATACCCCTCACTGTTTATTCATCACTCAATTCATTCTATATGTTATTCTGTAGATTGTGTACATTACTTTTCACTTTACTGCTTGTTGCACCTAGTTAGAAGCTACACTGCATTTCGTTGTCTCAGTACCTGTAATATGTGCAATAACAATAAAGTTGAATCTAATCTGGAGCAGGAACAAATGTATTTACTTAGTACATATCTGACATTAACGATTAAACACATGTGTGCATTCTTTATAAATGCAAACCGAGTCAAGCCGACTCCGGAGGTGGCGGTATGCACCTTCAAGCTGTTTGTAATCCGCCAAAAAACCGAGAGAAGAAGAAGAAGACGAAGCCGACTCCGAGCATGGACTCCGAGCTGTCCGACTTCAGGCAAGCTTTTTGAGACCTCCCCCGGCTGCGATCGGCTATTCTCGTCTACTTTCGAGGCGAGCCACAACGCGTCTCAAACAAGCCTAGTAGCAACTCCACCCCCTTTCTTATGCATTCTTTCCTGACTCATAAAACTAAAGTTGGGAGGGGTTGATTCGATAAGAACAGCTGCACTGTTATTTTGTTCAATCCAAGTCTCCGTTAAAAACATAAAATCAAGATTGTTTTTCCTGCCAGAGACCTGACATTTAATAAAGCTAATTTAAGTTTGTTGAACACACTATCAGTAAGATGTTTTGTGACAAGCTGTGGCTGACATGGAATCACTGCTAAATTAGATAAACTCACACAAACGTTTGAGCACTTCCTGTTTCTAAGCTGATTCACCGCTCTTAATCTATTACCTATCAACACATATATCGGCAAAGCTACAGGCAGGCAGGGCCCCGGCTTGTCCTGGAAAGAGTTGAGAGTGCCATACGCCCTTGAGCCTGGACCCATCAAATATCAGAAAGAGTTTGTTGCGTTTTGTACACACACATCCTTATCAGGCTTCGGAGACTGCAGATGCTTTCTTGAAGGGAGGGGAGGTGGTCGACGTAGGCACGGTGATGGAGACGGGAGAGATGGTGCGGGGGTAGAGGACATGCTGCCAGGGGGGGGAGGTGGTTGACGTAGGCACGGTGATGAAGACGGGGGAGATGGTGCGTGTCTCTGCAGTGATTTTGGTGGACGTCGTTGAGGAGCGGGGGTAAAGGACATGGTGCCAGCCCTGCGTATCGCCTTCGTTTGGTCTTTGAACTCCAGGAAGGAATCGGTGCCAACCCTCTGTATCTCCTTCGTGTGTTCAGCGAACTCCAGGAGGGTGGGCGAGGGTGAAAGGGTGAACGGAGTATCCTCAAAGGCGTTGACAGGGGGGGGGGGGGGGTGACGGGCATGTGTCTCATAGGTCTCCCATAATCAGAACATTCCTCAGGCGGGTGCAGTGATAATTCTTCAGGGTTTTCTGAGCGATGTGTTGTGTCTTTCTCCTGTTTTGATTCCTCTTGCCGCTTGTCCTTGGCAGAGGGAACAGATTGATGACGCAGGCAGTTGAATATGTTGGAGATAAACAATTTCACTCCTGACTTGTTCAGACAAACTCCATTTGCCTTAAAAAGATGTCTGCAGTCCCAGTTAAAAGTTAAAGTTGTCAATAAAATGAACAGAATGGTCAGTACAGGCAGTTGAAAGCCAGGTGTTCAGTGCAAACAATCTGCTGAATCTCTCCACTCCTCTTCTGACTGGCGGTAGAGGGCCACTGATGAACACCTCTGCATTTAGAGAGCTGACGGTTTCCAACAAACATTTAAAGTATTTTTTCAGCACTTCTGACTGTTGTTTCACAACATCATTTGTTCCAATATGTAGTACCACATTCTTCACAGTCGGATGTTCAGCCCCAATATGCAGGATCTTCTCAGCCAAGTCAGAGACCATATCCTTGGGAAAACAGAGTACTTTGGTGTTGTTCTTACTACACAGACTTTTTACATCTCTTACAGCAGAGTCACCCACAATCACAGTTTCAGGCCCAGTCGTTAGCTTTCCCTCTAGCCTTTTACTTTTAGAGTAGCTATTGGTCCTTACCCTGCTGTGTGAAGAGGACAGGTTATCCAGGTCATCAGAAAGAGATCTCCGGTTCTGGGTCAGTGGATCGTATCTGTTCTGGATTGGCACACTCGGTGGTTTAGGAGGATTGTTTGTAGTTCTCCCTTCAGCAGCTGTCCACTGCTGTTTTCTAGTAGGAACAGCGGTTGAAGAGGCGCTCTTCCTGGGTGATAACAATGCAGGCCAGCCGGTCGCATCACAGATTTCAGAGCGCTGGGCTCTGCCTGTTATTCGTCCTCCCAAATCCCATGGAAATGATTTACTCTTCGGTCTTGCACCCAGAGAGTTCGAGGGAGGACTACCACTTGTAGATTTATTACCCGGTACACAGCCCTCCTGTTCCTTGGAATCCTTGTAGCTGCTAACTAGCTTTGAGTTAGCATGCCTTTGTCCATTATTTTGCAACACTGGTAAAGTGGTGTCATTCCAACGACATAGTCCATTCACTTCCACGTTAACTTCCAACCGTTGCATTTTCATTTCCAACTCTGCAATCTTCTGTAGAAGTTTATGGAAGTCATCTGGAGAGAACGGAGGCATTTTGCTGCTAACTAGCTAAATAGCATGCAGTACCAGGCTTTAGCTGTTGCTAGGCCACGCTATTGTAAGACTGAGGTCGTCGTAAAAATATTGAAATATGGCTGAAACCCTCCGTCTATTTACGAAGAATAACTGTCCCAGTGATAAGTTAATGTCCAGGAGCCGCTGCTCGAAGTTTTCAGAAAAGAAAAATAGAAACAGAGCATAAAAAAGTAAGCAGAGGCAAGAGCAAGCAGAAAAGCGTCTGCACTGTAAGAAGGCAAGGTCACACTTTAGTGATTTAGTGAAACTTTAATTTATTTTTTATATTTTGGCACAGGCAGGTCCAGGCGGACTCACCTTTGGGCACTTTTATCAGGTACCACACTGTACAACTCATTGTATTTAATTGAAATATCACTATAGGTATTAATTCCATTAAAATACAACTATTTTTGACCTTTTTGAAACCCGAAGTTTTTTTCTTGCTCTTTCCTGGCTGCTAGTTCAGTGAGTTTTTGATGAGACTTATACCAATGGAATCTGTGGAATCTCAGCTTTCATGTGATATGTAGTTTGTGCAGATGGTATGACTTTGTTGCGAGATATGTCGTGAGTCATGTGCTAACGACGCATTAGCATGTTTCAATTTGTATATAAAAATACTGTTTGTAAAACTTTAATGAGAAAAAAACAATGAATTTGATTATTTTATTTTTTTCTGATCCAAGTTGTTTTTCATCAAGCATAGAGTGGGTGTTCAGACCTCAGTGGGAATGAGGTCAGACTCGTGTGATCCTATGAGTCAAAGAGTTTAAAAGAAGCAGAGGAAATTTCATCACTTCACAAAGCAGTCACTGTGTGACTTCAGCTGCCTGCAGGTCAGTGTAAGTATTCACACTGTCATTAACTGTTCTATATTTTCTATCCTGAATGTTTCCTTTACTTCAAAAGTCTTAAAATATAAGTCCAGAATCGTTAATTTGAAATAGTTTAATTTGTGCAAGTTTAAAAAAAAAAATTAAATTGTAAATTGTTCATACTCTTTGAAATGATCAGATGATCCTGATGAACTCAACACAGGTTTCACATTTCACTTTAGATGCCTACTTTGATGTCGGGCTACTTAAATATGTAATATTTCTGATTATTATGACTTTTTATATTTGTATTATTGTTGCCAACGTGTTGCTGATTGTGGTTATCTGTGTGAACAGGAGCTTACATGAACCTATGTACCTTTTTCTGTGCAGCCTGTTTGTAAATGAACTGTGTGGTAGTACAGGGTTGTTTCCATTCCTTCTGGTTCAGATCCTCTCTGACATTCACACTGTTTCTGCTCCGCTTTGCTTCCTGCAGGTTTTCTCTGTGTATACATATGGAAATGTACAGTTTTATAATTTAGCTATCATGTCTTATGACAGATATCTTGCTATCTGTCATCCTCTGCATTATAACACACGTATGACTTGTACCAAAGCTGCCATGTTTATTGCTCTAACCTGGTTTTTCCCCATTCTTCATGTAGTTATCATGATATCACTGAGTGCCTCTTTACAGCTGTGTGGGAACATCATTAACAAAGTGTACTGTGATAACTTCCCCATTGTTAAACTGGCCTGCTCTGACACTACAGTCAATAATGTGTATGGACTTGTTTACACGTGTACTGTTATAGTTGCTCTCATAATTTTAATGTTTTACTCGTACATTAAGATCCTCAGAGTGTGTTTCTCTGGCTCCAAACAGACCAGACAGAAAGCTGTCAGCACCTGCACACCTCACCTTGTTTCCCTGTTCAACTTCTCCTTCGGGGCTTTTTTTGAAATAATACAGAGCAGGTTTGATATGAGCGGTGTTCCCAGCATGTTGCGTATTATTTTATCTCTGTACTTGATCACATTCCCACCGCTCTTCAACCCTTTAATATATGGACTGAATTTAACAAAAATCCGCATCATATGTAAGAGTCTTCTCTTTGGTAAAGTGTAAGGTGCTAACGTTAAAGTCATGTATTTCATTTCCTCAGCATCAATAACACCTGGAGGAAATGATACTGTAACAATAGCATGTGTATCTAATGTGTGTAGTAAATGTAAGAGTTAAAACTTGACGGATTAAATCTTTGAGTGACAAATTGTCAAGTTTGTGATTTGTTAGGTTTACAAAAAAATCTCTTTGGCACTTTTTACACACAAGGCAACAAATTAAATCTGGAAAGCATTTCTATTTTAAGATGTCAGAAGTGTTCATTTGTCAATAAGCTGAAACACATTTAACATAAAGTCCAGTTCCTGAAATGTAGTACGATTCATCCTTACATAGTTGTCAGCTGGAAGGACAATATGACAGCATGTTTGGATCTGAGAAGAAAGCCTTTTGACGCCTTATACTCTCTTTATGTACTTTATGTATACATTATATATATATTTTCTTCATGCCTGTCTGATGTAAATAATGTTGTTTTGCTCTGTTGTTGAAAGGTGCTGTACAAATAAACTTGCCCATTGTGTCAAATGCAGTAAAACGTATATTTATAGAAACCAAATATTGAAAAGGTGGTTCAAGCAGACTCTTTATAAAATAACACACTAAAACATTAAGTCAAAAACTGCCCTCAGCAGAATATCACTGTCAGGGGACATCAGAAATACCATTTCCCATTGTGGAATTTTGATGAACGGGAGAAAATATTCAGGTTACATAACTATGAATATCTCGCTGGTGCCATTGAAAACAAAATACTCTCAAACATACAGTATCAACAGGATTGACTCTAAGTCATCTATATTTCTCAATACGGATTAAGACCTTGTTATATCCACATTTTGTTCGGGGCCTCAAGTGCCTTGTAGGTTGAAGCTTTTGAGAAATTCCACTCAAACCAAACCAAACCAAAAACTCTTCTTAAACTAAACCTAAGCCTGCAGATCTTCTCCATTAGGTCAGAAGCCTTCTGATGAAACAGCACCAACAGCCTGCTGTGAGCGTTAGGCTGCCTCTCTAAAGCTGAAAAATGACTCAATTAATCATCAAGTATAGCAATTATTAGTAGCTTTTATTTCAGCCTGTGCAATATTTAACTTTATTAGGCAAATCATAAAGCAATGTCCAATAAAATGAGTCTTAAATGTTGGAATATACAATATAGCTTTGTCACCCTCCACATTGCTTAAACCTAAAGTTCTTGAGGTTTGTTCGTCTACATTTTTTTAAATGTTGTTTCTGACCTCAAAATGAAACGTGTTGTTCCGTTAACCCAGAGGTAACTAAGTACATTTACTGAAGTACTGTACTTCAGTACAATTCTGAGGTCCTTGTACTTTACTTGAGTATTTCCATGTTATAGTTTGGTCATCTCCAGCAATCGCGTGACCGTGGAGAGCGGAGGTTCGTTTCACAGTGGATTTGTCATCTATGAAGGGTTTACATGTTTTTTAGCCCCCATGCCACTCGCAAAAATGTTGTTCAATACATGGTTTCTGGCACTTTTTGGGTCGAGAAATTCATATTTGATGTTGTTTTGATGATTTGACCTATCTTTCTTCAAATCCAAGATGTCTGCCAATTTTTCAGCTCCAAAAGGTCAATTATTCAATGTTGTCATAGAGCCTTCATATTAGGCTCTAATGAAAGCTATGCTCATGCTGAGTTGAGTTATAAACAGTAAAACTATAGTTATTTTTGTATTGTTTAGCCTTATTAAGCGGTGCAGCCGCTTCTATAAGTGACATGTGTGTGTCCGTTTGTCCGTCCGTCTGTTCGTACGATAAGATTTAAATCAATCAGGACATGCCTATGCATCACATGACTAGGCAATACTAGCTTGAGAGAAGCATGCCCAGTTATATCTGTGTACGTTCAAATCAAATCAAATTTTATTTATATAGCACATTTATAAACGATTTTTGGTGGAGCCAAAGTGCTGTACATATAATAAAAAAGCCTACAGTAGAGACACTTTACAGCAAATACATCAACACAGATTGTTCAGAATATCAGTATGAGAAAAACGACACCCTCTGTCCTTAGACCCTCTGTCCTTAGACCCTCTGTCCTTAGACCCTCTGTCCTTAGACCCTCTGTCCTCAGACCCTCTGTCCTTAGACCCTCTGTCCTTAGACCCTCTGTCCTTAGACCCTCTGTCCTTAGACCCTCATATCGTACAAGGAAACGTTTCCAGAGAAACCCCACAGTTAAAAGGGAACATGGGAGAAACCTCAGGGAGAGCAACAGAGGAGGGATCCCTCTCCCAGGACGGACAGACGTGCAATAGATGCCGTGTGGAAATCGAAGATATAATACATTTTACAGCATATAGACCGAATGTTAGGAAATGCATGTGTCTGTAATAAGAAGATGAATCCACGAGAATGTCAGCTACAATCCTGTGGAAGCCATCAGGGAAGCAGCATGACGAGACCCAAGGCAGGACCGCAGAGACAGGTTCAGCCACGACCCGAAGTCCACGATTTAATTCAGAACTCAGGATAGAGGATCCAAGACACAGGACCACAGCAAGAGGATCAGCCTCGACTCCGGATCCCGGCGTAGATATAGATACAAAACAAGAAAAAAGATTTGGCTGGGTTAATCGGAACAAGAGAATACACAGACACAGACAGAGAGGGAAAAGGTCATTGGATAAAAGTTATTCTTAATAACGCTCTAGAAAGATCTCATGAACTTCCCCACTCAATCTATCAAGACCCGAGCAGTTCTATTAGATATAGGATAAGAAACAGAGATAGGGAGCACAACAACCTATCTCTTCGTCAGATGCACTCCCCCGCTTATCTAAGCGACTCGGTACCCTGTTACCCTCTACAAGGCCATAGACCAGCAGAGGGAAAATGGGGGGTAAGGGTAAGGATTTTTAAGAATAAACCACAAGGGTCTGAAGGGAAAAAAGATGAAATATAAGGTACTATATTTTAAGTAATCCTATCTACTATTTCTATATTTGAATAATGTATAAACTAAAACTATACTTTATGAAATTCTATGTTATGTTATAAATATTAAAATAAACTAAACTAAATGAATAAATAAATAACTAAATAAATAAATAAATGAATAAATAGATTATTAAACAAAAGCCAAAGAGAAAAAGGGAGTTTTAAGTGTTGATTTAAAAACCCCCAGGGTCTAGGCCGACCTCACCTGGAGGGGCAGAGTATTTCAGAGCCTAGGGCCAGCCGCTGCGAAAGGTCGATGCCCTCGGGTGATCGGCTGATCAGCCGACCTTAAGGCTCTGCCTGGGGTGTAGCGATGGAGGAGTTCAGCTATATAGGCAGGAGCCAGCCCATTTAGGGCTTTAAAAACAAATACAAGGAGTTTAAAATATATTCTGAACCGAACGGGAAGCCAGTGCAATGAAGCCAGAATTGGGGTGATATGATTGCGCTTTTTATGGCCAGTGAGAAGACGTGCAGCTGCATTCTGAACTAGCTGCAGGCGTCTAATTGAGGCCTGATCCATACCCACATACAGAGCATTGCAGTAATCCAGTCTTGAGGTAACAAAGGCGTTAATAACCCTTTCTAGGTCTTTAAAAGATAAAAACGACTTGGTCTTAGCCAATAGTCGTATTTTGAAAAAGCAGGTCTTGACTACGGTGCTAAACTGCTTATCAAATTTAAAGGCGCTGTTGAAGGTCACTCCAAGGTTCATAACAGAGGGGAAGATATTTGTATTGAGGGAGCCCAGAATATCAACCGGGGAGACCGTTGGTTGGGGTGCAAAAAAGATGACCTCGGTCTTACTCTCATTGAGGGTGAGGAAGTTTTGGCTCAGTCAGGATTTAATCTCTGTTAAGCAGTCCTTCAACTGCTGTAATGAGTTTGCATTTTGATTGAGAGGCAGACACATCTGTACATCATCAGCGTAACAATGGAAGGGGATATTATGTTTTGTAAGAATTGAACCTAGGGGCAGTATGTACAATAGAAAAAGGATGGGGCCCAGAATCGAGCCTTGGGGAACCCCACAGGTAAGAGGGGCTTTGGCAGAGGAGAAGGCACCTAACTGCACTGAGAAGCTACGGTCCGTCAAATAAGACATGAACCATGCAAGAGCAGAGCCTGTAATGCCTGCGGACTGTTCAAGCCGTGACAACAGGATACTATGATCCACAGTGTCCAAGGCAGCAGTTAAATCCAACAGCACCAAAACAGCTGGGCTGCCTGAATCGGCGGCTAAGAGCAGATCATTAAAAACTCTTAAAAGGGCTGTTTCAGTACTATGCATAGGTTTAAAGCCAGACTGAAACTTTTCATGGATACCATGCGAGGTTAAAAATGACTGCAACTGGGCGTAGACTACTCGCTCCAGGGCTTTAGATAAAAAGGGTAGCTAGGAGATGGGCCTGAAATTTGCAAGTATGGAGGGATCGAGATTTTTCTTTTTAAGTAGTGGCTTGACCACGTCATGTTTGAAGGCAGCTTGGACACATCCTGAGCTAAGAGAAGTGTTTACAAGCAATAAAACACTTGCTCCAACTGATTCAAAAACATCTCTAAGGAAGCGAGAGGGAATGCTGTCTGAGGTGCAGTTTGTCAGCCGCAGGTGCTTGACTACTTCCGAGAGAGAAGAGAGGGATACAGGCTCAAAGTGGTCGAGGACAGCAGGGCACAGAAAGGGAGCAGGATCTGGGGTAGCACTAGTATAGGCTAGCCTAAGAGCAGATACTTTTTCAATAAAAAATGTAAGAACTGTATCGCAGAGAGTAGTCGATGGCACAATTGGAGAAGCATCACAAGGATTAATGATCGAATTGAGGACATCAAAAAGAACTTGAGGTTTATGGCTGTTTTTGGAGATGAACAGAGAAATATACTCTGTGTTGGCTTTGACTGCCATCTGATAATCGGAAAGGCAAGCACGAAGAATTTCTAAGGAGACATGAAGTTTATCCTTTTTCCATTTTCTCTCTGCACGCCTACAAGCGCGTCTACAAGCGCGAGTACAATCATTGAGCCACGGCTCTGAGA